GTGGTCATTGACGGATTGCCATGGTATCGGGCAGACGTTAAAATCAATTAAATACATATGCTACATTTATTGATATATATGAGGGAGAGAAAATGTGTGAAAATGGCGAACCCTTCACAGAATACAAACTGGAATATTCCATAGAACATATATGTATATAGATAGCACACAACTTAAAATCACAATTTTGTTCCAATATAATTATGACACTACATAACAGCAAATACACGAGTTGAACAAACAATGATTAACTAACATCAGAGGTACATTACTTGGGGTTTGTAACTACGGTGACATGATACCAAGATCCCGTCACAATCTCGCTCTCGCATAAGCGTTCCAACTCAGAAAAAATGCGAATGCGCATGCCCGAGGTAACTGGGATACTGGGATGTCCAGGTGGATCAAAATAGCTGCCCACGATATGACGGATTACGAGAACTATATTTTCTGTACATTTTCGATGTATTACATTTTTCACTATGATAGGGACAAGAAAAGTTATTTTTTTCATTACAAACTTTGAACATTGATATGCGTCATGTCAGAAGGTCGTCGCCCCAGTCTCGCTAGTCTACGAGAAGAGACTTGAATAGGGATCTTGACATGATGTCACCATACAGTATATGCGAGTTGCAAACCCCAAGTAATGTACCTCTGCTAACATACTTATACAAAAAAAAAATGAAAACAATAATACAATCAAGTACAACACTCTCTACTTTAATAAAATGTTGTTATTTATTGATAACCATTTAAATATGCAAAGAAAACAGGTAATGTTTATACAATGTCAATGTACATGCGTTCTATATTACAGTAATATTTTGTAAGTCGCAAAAACAACGTGATTAGTTTTTGATAAATCACAATCCTATGTTATCATGAATATACAGTATAAAACAACACTATTAAAAGTACATGTTCTTGTTCATATTTCATCTTTAAAAAAGTAAATGTTATGCAGCATAATATGAAATACTAGTATATTTGTTATTGCACATGCAAATACATATAACATTTTATTCGATAGATTCCAGCACGTCCCAAGATCCTGTAAATAAAATTACAATTCACCATGGCGATTTTTGCATAATAATACCTAATATGTGTCAGAGTCGACCCAAACCAAGAATATGTCAAATTACTGCCAGATGTAAGTAATATTCATTGTAATCGTATCCCTATTTGGACATCAATATGAATATACAATAACATTGAAATATATTGTGTCAACATTTATTTGAATAAATTACACCATTACCTTCAACAATAACGCATTGAATTACTTTGATTTGTGTGTCCTCCCCTACGATTAAAATACACATAATGATAGTTTTTCATCATTATTTATGGTGAGTCTGAGAATGATGTTCTTCTGCTACAAAGGCAACATCTTTTATAGTTTGTGGTATAAATTGTTGTCACCGTCGATCACAATGTCATTATAATTTATTATATTAACTTTCTGGGTAATTATATGTGAAAATCATGTTTTTGAGACCAATATACTTGCCTTAAATTACCGGCGTTACGGTCACACTAATATCTCCTTTTCATACACGTATATTCAAAACAATAAAATAAATATATTATTCCCGCATATTTATATTTAATACATATTATAAATAATAAATTCGTATTTATTGACACTTCATCAATCAATCAATCAATTAATATTTGTATGTAGATCATCTGAATGCCTCGCTAATGACCCTGTGTTTTAGAACAGTTTCCATACATTGCAATCAGAAAAATGTTAATCAATTCTGAAACCGAGATTAAATAACAAAACATAAAAGTATCTTTCCCTATTTGTTTAAAGTATGTGACTGTTTTCTAATCATCTATTAAAAAAAGCAATGCAGCAAGATTAAAATGCCGTAAAAGGGCAATATTATTTTGCGACTCATCTAATAAATACTCACGCCTGTTGCTAGGGAGATGTATCACCACATGTGTGTAACAAGATCATTCCGCCAATTAAGGGAATGCGGACAGCTGTTTTTGCAGTTTTGATTCCTACATTACAACTCAGACTACTTAATATACATATTTGATATAGTATATGGTATCATTGCACAATAGGATATAATACTACGTAGCAACACATATAATTTCGGAACTGCATTTACTTACGCCCATACGTATAATTTGGGTGAAGAGGTCAAGTCTCGTTTTCACATGTGAACTCTGTTCGAATGAGAAATTCAATCGAGCTTGCTTGTACTCTCTTTACAGAGCGACAAACATATCAGCGTATTGCTCATAAAAAGGTCAGTTTAACTTTTTTATTTGCACCCCAGTTGTTTGTAATAGTTGAAACAATGTGTACCTGAATTTCCGTGTAGTTGTTTTAGCAAAAAGTGTTTTTTCTAGCTGCAAGTTTCGGGTGCAATGTGCCCGCGAAATTTGAAAAAAAGATCGAGCAGACAATTTAAAGCTTGTTGTGATCCAATTTGAAAAAGACGTTTTATGGAAATCATTTAATACCCATGTATAGATGTAAACTGTACACATTTTAGTACTAAGTATTACCACGGTTACTAAACAATATAATTTTAGTTACCGTGTTGTGACTAGCATCTTCAATTTAACCGTATAAGTTATGTGTTTGTTTTAGATCTGTCAATATTATTGATAAATCAACAATGAATGCTTATCTACCAGTAGCTCTGCGTACAGTGCTGTGTGTACGGGGATGCGTTCGGTTGATAGATGTCCCCACCACAGCCCTGCGTACCTCCATAGACAAAGTCCGGGACTTTGAAA